CAATTTATGTGGTTGCTTATAGTAGTTTATAATAATACATGAGTTCTTGACCCTTGAATAACACACATGGTCAGATTGACTTTGACTCTGCCAAAACTGAATTACCAAAAGCCTCCCACGCCTAGAAGCCTTATGGATAACAAACAGTCAATTAACACACACTTTGGATCTTTTTTGTGTTATATACTGCACCCACTTAAAAGCTACATTTTCAGTACAGGGTAGACAGGTATTTCACCAAAAGTGCATCATTTTCACACCTGCTGGCTTAGCTGCAACGATGGTTCCACAAATTTCTTTCCCTTTTTCTAAAATGGACCTAATAGTAGATTCAGTTCTCACGCAATGATGGGCAGTCCCAGCTGCAGACCTAAATCATACGTATCAAGCAATTCATCTTTTTCTTGTCATGTCATGAATTTCTATGCATCTTGGGAACACGATTAGCATCACCAGTGCCACCAGTGTAGGTTGTCTGGTGTTATTCACTGTTTATGGTATTACCCTAAACATGATGAAAAATACACAAGAACCACAAGAGATCATTTTCACTGTGATACACAATTTATGAGATAAACAAACTGCTCACCTGAAGATAATCAGCGTCCCAGGATGTTTTTTGAAAATCCATGTGTAAGTGGACCCACATTGAAACCCAGGTTGTTCTAGGTCAGCTGGGTTTTTTGAAGGTTCTCCACGGGAAAAGGGTGAATGTGTCTACTCCCGTAAAGACTTGGCTCTTTGCAGCCCTGGTGGTGCCCACATCAAGGTTGGTTTGCTCCTGTAAATGTTGACAGCCTCGGAAGTGCTCCATGGAGCCACGGTGAGTCTGCGGCAGTGCGTTTGGTCTGGTTTTGAATCTCTATGAAAAGCAGAGTATGGCATCTGTCTCCTGAGTGGCCTGGTAGGCTTGAACCGCAGGCCTTTCAGTTAACAGCCCAGCTCTTCTTCTCCCCTGCTCCATTTGGGCTCTCGAATACAAGTTCTTCAGTACACTGTTAGGGAAAGTGAGAATGCCTATTTCTACTTATCCTTTATTTGACTGGCATAGCCTTAATTTAACATAGATACATTGGTTAGTTCAAATAATTAAGTGATTCAAATTTAATAGAGACCTCCTATATTTCCTAAAACTCCATAATTGTGTTTTGAATTGATGTCACTCTTCAGTCGTAGCACATTTCCTCTGTCGTGGGGTGCACTTAGCAGGGGGTGGGACTCAAATCTTCCTTACTGCTGCTTCTGTGCTAGATTGGCTAACGCCTAGCCACACTCTTGTTCAGATTAGTAAGAGGAGATGTTAAGCAACTGAACTGCCTTCATTTTTACCTGATGTTACTTTCCAAGTTATTAAATAAACTTTGAATTTTAACTCTAAACAGGATGCTTTAACTTGAAACAGGATACTAAAAATTAGTTGGCAAACCCAGGGACGGGAACAACAAGAGATCTAAAATTGATGGTGAAGAGGGAGTAGAATGCCTGCTGGGGTTCGATCAAGTGCAGTGTATCTGAGAGGAAGTACAGAGAGCCGAATAAAAGTCAAACATGGTAGTGGAACCGGAGGAAAGTAAAATGAAATAGAGGAAAGAACTAGGAGGCAAAAGATATTTAAAGAGGTATAAACATAGGCATGTACATATGTAAATAAATTAATATAGAACAATAGGGATATCGGTCTGTGTACATATATTTATAGGTTAAGTATTAAGGTAGTAGATGGACATGAGTCTCTACTCAAGTTCTCCCTCAATGCAAGAACACTTTGTTCTAATAACCTGGCATTCTGTGATACTCACCTTCCTGATATGATCGCTGAAGACAAAATGGGTGCATAAGCTAATGTGAAGAAGGCTGATAGTGCTTTGCTATTATAGAATATAGTGTCTGGGGTCTTAAAGCTTGAAGTTAAATAAGTGGAAATCTAGCAGGGAAGCAACAAACATCCACATGGAAGAAGTACACCAGCCCACGTGATCACGAGGTGTTGACTGGATCAGGTATCAGGCATCAGAAGACCCCAAACAGACACCCATTTCGATGCAAAGAAGGTCGGTCGCGATGGAGACCCAAAGCCCATCATCTGTAGACAGTTGGACATCCCCTCACAGAAGGGTCACAAGGAAGGGACGAGCCAGCCAGGGTGCACTATAGCACCGATGAAACACGGAACATGCCATTAGTTCTTTAAGGCTTCCCTGCCCCCTATCATGACTCCTGTTCTACCTTACGAATCCAGCTAGACCAGAGCATGTACACAGGTACAGATCAGAGCTCTCGACACACAGAATCCAGAACAGATAAACCCCCAGGACCAATAGTGAGCTCAATGATCAACATACAACAAACACTCTCCCCCCGGGGGGTGGGGACGAACAACAGAAACATGGGCGAAGGGAGACAGCGGATGGTGTAAGATATGAAAATAAAAGTAATTTACAAATTACCAAGAATTCACAAGAGTGGGGGAGGGAAGGGGCAAAAGAGGAGCTGATACCAAGGGCTCGAGTAGAAAGAAAATGTTTAGGAAATG